GTCTGTAAATGGGATTGAATAGTCTCTCATCATCTGTCCTTCTCTGTAGCTTCCACTTCTGACTTCCACTCAGCTTTTTTTTTGCCACGAATATTTTCAACCATCTGGCGGTTGATTGAATCACAGACCCCATGCTTGGTCCCCAGATCTTCATATTTTTTTTGGGCACCTGATTTGCCCATCTTCCATATTTTTTTGGCATTTTCAATGGTTCCTGCCCAAGTGCGTGGTGGGAAATTAACCTGAGTTGAATCATCATGACCATACACATGATTAGTTAAGCACACAGCATATTAAGTCCCAGGTAATAAGTGGTTACCTTTTCACCTTGGGAGTTGAGTCCCAGGAACTGACAGACATAATTGGGTGTCTTTCTATCATCCAGTGAGGAGGTTTTCAACCCACACATGCGACATGGGTTTAAAGATACGCCAGGAACAGGTGTACTGGTAATCTCCGCATGCATCGGAGAATCCGCCTGAAAACATAAAACTAAACTCATCACTAAGACATTTTTGCCAAGACTTGCGTCGTATGCAATAACCCCATCAGTGGCTAAATCACTGCAGTACACAATGTCAGCCTCTCATTTGGGGGTGGGTGTATGAATGAATTTTCCCCTCAGGGATATTATAGGAGGCTTACTTCATCTGATCCACTATCTGATTGGCTATCTCCAAAGTACCTGCAGTGTTTGATGTAGATAGGAAATGACAATTGTACTCCATGTTGGAGTATTTTGGTGGCAATCCTGACAGAGTAAAGTAGAATGAAATGTGTTTGTTGTATCTCTTGGAAACATTCCCAGATGTGTCGTTGGCATATAAATTGATTGGCATGTGTCTAATAATCATCCCTTGAGGCCTTGATCCGCCACGGATTGGGAAGTGTGTGGGCCTTTTCTTTTTGCCCATATTCTACCAATTCCAGTCAAGTCAGTGTCCACTGTGGTGTAAATTCATGGACAAACACATACCATAGAGTTCATTGCTGCATGCTTCAGCAAGCTTTCCAGAAGACCCAATATGTATCTCGTCGTAAGTCAATGCAAAATCTTGGAGATGGACATTCCTCAACTGGTTGGAATTGAAATCCAGATTAGATGGAATAGTGATCTTGATTTTCTTTGGTCCTTGTTGGGATATGTCTGCTTTCACACATCGAGCCAAGATTTTGTTGTTCTCCATGAAGAAAAAGATTGGCACCACCACATGTCGGCTGTGCAGTTGAACCGGTTCAAAAATGTACCAGTGCTTGTTGTTTGCTTCTGCCATGGGCACTCGGAGAGTTGGACTGAGGTCTTCACGCCACTTGGCACTTTGTGACATTTTGAACACATTCTGCCCACCAGTAAAGTGTGGATAAAACTCTAAATTTGGATTGACATAGGGATTGGCCAAGTCCTAAGAACCACCAGACCTTGTTTATGTTAGCTGTCAGGTGGAGACATGGGTTCTTCAGACCAGGAATAAACTGACATTTGCCAATAATTGCTTAATGTTCAGGGAGTAACATTGGTTGTGGAGAATGCTTTCACTGTGGGTGATCTCCATTCTTAATAAGTTGCGGATGCGTAACCTCCCACTGCGCAAAGTGTTCCAGTGAGGAAGCTCCAGTTCTGCCAGCGACAAAATCAGTCGGAGTTGTGCATACTCCGCTCGAGACATCACATGGCGCATATATCCATGAATCAAAGCGCCCAAAACGTCCTGGATTGGAGAAAACGCAATGTAAGTTTTTTTTTCTTGGATCCCATTGGGGTGAAGAAGTGGCTGATTTGTGAATTCCAGGCTGGCTTACCGCCTGCGACCTAAACGGATACCATCTTTCGGCGAGACTTCTGGCATTTCGATCGGCAGGATCAGCAAGATTGCCCGGCCCAAGCTGATGAACGGTTTCAAACAGGACATCATCCCAATCCATCTCATGCTCGGAATCTGAAGACTCGTCGTCGGCAGGATTGAAGAGGGTCAATGACGCGTTGCGTGCTACAATCAGCAAGTCCGAAGCATCCGACTCCTCATCAGACCTGGGATCCGCATGCAGAGTGCCTCGACTCA